ATTCTGTAAATTGATTTTCTGACAAAGCAGTTAAAGTGCTTGTAAATAGTTGTAAATGCATCAATTAAGACTTAAAACAAAAGCATTAAAGATTTTTAAAAAAATTATTTCGTATACAGGGAAGTAAGATAACGACTTATTCTTCGAAACAGTATTTGAGCTCGAAAATAATTTTAAAAATAAGAAAACATTTAATTTAGTCTCGAATTTGTTTTGGTAAAAAATGAGTTCAATTAACTTTGATGTACAGTTTGTTCCATTTCCTCTAAATAAATAATCGTGTAATTGTAGAATTGTAGTTACAAACAAGTTTTGAAAGCTTGAAAAGTTTTTTTGGGGGGAAAAAAGCTTCTTCAAATCCAATAATAAAAAATCATTCTAAGACTTTGAATATTATAAACATACTCAAGAACGTTTGGTTTAATAAGTATTATGTAGAAAATTATATATAAAACCATATAGTGTTCAGAGTTTCTCAAACAGTGGGGCGTCCCCCCCAGGGGGCGTGATAATTATACCAGGAGAGAGCGAGCATGTCGAAAATAAAATGAATTTAATAATGATATAAAGTTTTCATCTACTAATACAATATGTGAATATTCTTATTAAATATTCTAATTTTTTGTTATGGCATTTATTTCCTTTTTTGTCAAAACTTTTAATGAGTAACTAATCAAATTTTGAAAGAAAATGCCAACTCTCTATATATTACTGATATTTTTAATGAAACTAAAACACGAAGCACTTTTATATAAAAAGAAAGTCAAGAACTCTAAAATACATTTTAAGTAAACATCATTCTAAGTAAAAATTAATTTTGAATGCTTTAAAAAACATTATTAAACTTTTCATTTAAAAATTCAAATAATTTATCAGGATAAAGAATGAAAAATAGTCTTTATTAAAATTTTCCAATTTACACAAAAAAAAACTTCCAAATTAATTTATTCCAGTAATATATTTCACCAAATTACTTGTAGAAAAAGGGACTCACATAATGATACATATTAATATAATACTTAGAGTTTTATATGTTAATGAAAAAGAAACATTCTGTTAAAAAAAAGCCACAAAAATATCTTCTAAAATATCCAATAAATTTAGATACTTTATTTTTGCGACATCTGAATTACTACATTTGACTAATTATTGTTTGAGGATACGACTCAAAAATACAACAGACTTAACTGCATCTTAAAAGGACTTTTTTTAAAAAAGCTTTTTATTTTTCTTTCAATATTTTCATCCGAAACCTGACATATATGTATTTTAATGTAATGCTCATAACTTTTTGTTCAAATATTTACCATGAAAATTATTCAAAATTATTTACTATGAGCTATAATGAAAACAATTTTTTTAGAAAAGTAAATTCTGTATTATTAAAATTATAAGAGAAAAAAATAGATGCAAAGCTTAACCCAAAGATTTTGTTTACAAGAAATAAATTTTAAGATTAGTTTATTTTTCTTTTTATAATTAAAATGAGTTAAGTTATTAAATTTAGAAGACAAGTGTTGAAATTTAATAATGATAAAATATTACAGTGTTTCATTTAAAGTATCACAACGTTTGCTTTATTATGATTTTTAATTTTAACCTACAATTTTATAATCGCGAGCTATGTAACTAGCTACTGTGATTCTTGAGTTGACTATTCTTTTTTCTTTTACCTTTGAAATTTAAAAACAAATTGGAAAAAAATTGAAAATTGAATTTACGCAAGTAAATTTGATTTAGGATTAAATATTGATACATTTGATAAATTTTTCTTGTCTTCAATATTCTAGAAAAACATTTGCTTGAAATAATACCTGGATTTACTTAAGCTTAAATTCTTTTCAAAATAGAACAGTTTATTGTTCTCTTAAAACTCAGACATTTTTCCATAGAGTACAATCGGAAATTTTCTAAAAATTTGATTAGTTGAATAAATTTTAAAAAATAAAATGGGACAAAACGATAAAATTATTTTCCATTGTATAACTCCTTTCTATTCTTCCTTTTTATAATTATTTACGGAATTTTAAATCGCTTCTGTTTCATTAAAATGATATCACAGAACAAAAATTAAACTATTCAAGCGATAAATCAATAGAAAGAGAAAGAACCACTAGAAATCATTTGTTATATTTTACATTAAATGAAAACACTAACTTATTTAATGATTTCTAAAATTATATATATATATATATATATATATATATATATATATATATATATATATTGTTTAACTGTTCTTTATTTATCAATATTTTTAAATAATTCAACTATTACAAGTATAGATCAGTTCTTCGTAAAATATTCACAATATTTCAATGCAAACTGGAATATAACTGCGTAAAACATCAGTGAGAAAATACCTTCCTCACACACACACATACGTAACATTAATATTTGAACGCAAACTCTCAAACTTTTATCATGTGCCATATATCTTCTTGTATGATATACAAAAATGAAAAAAATTAAGTATATTGATTTTGAACGCCCTTTCAATGACCCAGAGACCGCTATCTGTCTCATCATTACTGTTCACTGGCAACTACCCAAACTGCTGACAACTTATATTCTTAGTTTCAAGTCACGTGCTATAGGTTACGAGGGTATAAATATGTTACTTCATTCGAAATTTCAATATACTGAGATGCAGTCCTTTTTTTTCTTAGTTACTCCCTGAAAATAGCTTTTACATACTTTTAGATAACTTTTTTTCTCATTTTCAAATGCAATTTAGAGTAGAGATTTATTCATTTTTGTTTCATTTTAAACATTTTTGAATAAAAATAAACTTTTTGAGCTAAAAATTAGTAAAGGAATAAAAAAATAATTTTACGTAAAATGAAGAATAATAATCTAAAAAAATAGCAGCCAATTACGACCAAAACAAGAAAACTATATTTTTTTTAATTTAATATAAGGGAGCCTAAAGAAAATAAGAAACACAATGTTCTTCTTGAAAGTTGATTTTGGACATTTTTATAACGAGAGTGTCACAAAATGGTGTATCATTACAAATTGGTGGTTTATTAATTCATGTCTCATTTTACTTGATATATAAAGTTTATTTGCTTTTAAAAGTTACGTTTCAATATACTTCATATCAAATATATGTAGCAGAAGTAAAACTAAAGGAAAATATTACCTTCTGGAGTTCGTATGTTTTTGGGGATTTTTTTATGTTAATCTTTAGGGTCACGTTAATATATGAAGCATTTTTTATTTGGAGTATATTATTTATGCTTATTATAAACACTACGTATTAATTCATCATATTTTAGATGTTTTATTTTATTTTCTTGTGTTGTTTTAAGAGCTGGTAGTTTTATTGAAAAAATATTTTGTTAATTTATAAAGGTCTTTCAAACTGTTTAATCATTTATCTATAGAAATTACCATTTTAAAAACATTATTTTTAATTGCCTGTTAGATAATGGTCAGAAGCGAAATACAATTCCTTTAAGTACTTACAAACGTTTGAATATCTATGGTTTCGGTTAGCTTATATTTACTTTTTAGCTGATTAAGATATTTCCTAACTATGAGTGTATTTAAATAATCAATTATAAAATTTCTTCATGTGTAACTATACAATGGGTTTTAGCAGACTTTATGCTCGAAATGTTTAAAATGTATAGGTTTAACAAATAAAAAAAATTATGAAAAATATGTTTTGTGATAAATCTTAGAATTAATCAAATAATTATTCAAGAATAAGCGAACACAGAATAATAACTTATTCAATTAAAACTTTGGGGCAAAATTCTTCTTTGTTTTGCGTATGAGGTATTTAAAGTAAGCATATTTTGGCTACAACTCTATACTATTTTACCGAACCGCACGAAAAGACAACTGATAATAACACGCATTATTTTAAAAAGCACTTTTTTAAAACTTAAATATTAAGGAGATATATAACATGATTCAATTGACAAAAATTGATCAAAAGATCAAATTAAATTTTTTTAGACTAAATTATTCTTTATATATTTTTCTGTAATCTCATACTATTTGAAAGATCTACATTAAAAAAACCCAGACTTATGATAATTTTTATATTATTTTTTATTAATATTAGAATAGCAATTAAAAACTTTAAGCAGATTTCTCTTTAAACAGCAACAATAAAAAAAACCTAGGGTTTTTTTTTATTTAAAATGCTAAAAGTATGTATCTATTGCGCCAAATTCTTTCTTTTTTTCTAACAATTGCCTTTAGTACATGTAACAAAAGTTGGTATGCATTTTTGAATTAAAGCAATACTTACTTTTTAAAAATAATTGAAAATAAAATTTATACATTTTTCAAGGAGTTTTTAATAAGCATTCGCAATAAAAGTAGTTAAATATGATTCATCATGTTATCACAAAACCCATACCAACTTTTGTTACATATAGTTAGACTTATTTGTAAATCAAATTTCATGTGTATACGTCAATCATTGTAAAAGGAGTAGCCATTCGAAATCACTTCACGAATTTTAAAAAATAAATGATTAGCTTCTTTTGGTATTTTGAGCACACAAAAAAGAAAAAAACCTGTTTTGCATAATATATATATATATATATATATACAAGAAGCAACCAAACATTTGATAAAACGATTAAATCAAAGATTTTTTTATAAATCGGTCCATGTCCTCTTAATACTTTTAAGAATTCTTATGGCGCTATACAAGCAAATTTACTGTCTACCTTTTAAATAAAATTACACAACAAGTAATAAAAAATATTAAGTCAATATCTACTTTGATCAACAAAGAAAAGTTTTATTTTAGTTACTTTTTAATAAATAGTTACAATTAATATTCATATGTATTTACATATGACATAATCACAATATTAAATGACAAAATAGAAAAGGATTTTCCTTACAATTTTCTATTTTCCTTTCTACATAGGTGTTGGACTATTTTTTGTCACTATTAATTCATTCGTTAAATTTAGTTATTCTAATAAAATAGTGTAGTAAAAAAGAAATCACATTCTCATAAATTAGACCATCCCCGGTGGGATTCTAACCCGCAACATTTGGATTAGAAATCCAACGCACTATCCATGTTGCTACAGAGACATAACGAACGCTTTTCCTTTCTGTGTATGAGGTTGACTGTTATTTTTGTTTGCTACTATTTATTCAATTTTTAATTTAATTTATGAATTAATATCTGATAAAACTATATTAAGATCAATTGCCATCAACTGCTAGTTTAAAAAATGTATTTGAACTTTTATGGATGAATAGAAAATATTTCATTAACGACTGAAAATTTGAACAAGATATATATATATATATATATATATATATATATATATATATATATATATATATATATATATAAATAATTAAAAATTAATGTTTAAAGCCGGTTTAAATTTATTTTAATCTACTTTGTACTCTGTTCCTCAAAGATAATTTTAATCCTTTACAAAGAGGTTAGAAACATTCCAACACTAATGCAACAAATCTAAAACAACACATTAGCTTGATGGAGATGCTCTGTTCCTGAAAATCTATCCCCGTCTATTCATTTCACTCTTTAATTACGTTAAACGAATGAAAACTGATTTCCAATTTAGCAGTCGCTGTGAATCCCTTAATTACGAAATACTTCATGCGAGTCAAACTGACAAATTAAATAAGTCCACTCCTCTTTTGGCAAATAACAAGATATAAATCTTCAGTTTTCTGAACTAATTCTAAACGTGCTTTTCCTTCTTTAACAGTTGTTTATAAAAAGAAGTTTTTGCACTTAATGATGAATTGTTTACGGTTAAAGAAATCAAGCAGCTAGATGCAAAAGGAATTCATCACAGCTAATACAAAATAGTGAAATGCTCCAACTAAAACTGTAGTTAAAAGCAACATTTTTATCTGAAATATTTTCTGGGAGGATTTTACATGAAATTGTACAATGTCTTAAGCTGTGCAATGCTATACACAGAACTAGTTATTATACTATTTCTAAAGATATTAATTATATTTTCCGTTATTATTTGTTTATGTTTATGTTACATATTTTAGAGAATAAGTATGAATTTAAGGTATGACTTACAGGAAAATGAAAATTCCTATGTTCAATCTAAGTAATTTATTATACTTTATAAATGTAGGAATTAAGCCATAAAGTGAATTATTGCTGCAGAAAACAACTAAACTCTTCCAGGTTCTTTTTATTTTTGGATCATGGATCAAAATATCTCAATTTGTATGCCTCTTTTCAAATATAAATATTTTTTTAGACATAATAGCACAATTCGCATACAAAATGTCTTAAAAATTAATGTAGAAAATCTATTTAAATATAAATGAGTAATTTACCTATATATAAAGCTAACTTTCTGAATGACAGAAATTTTTAGACTTTGGAGTTAGTTTTAACTATAAATATAATGCTTCGAATGCACAGCTTTTATCTTGAATTACAAATTTTACTTACAGTTTTTGCATTTACATAAAGAATTATGAAGTTATTAATTAAAATTTCATCGTGTATGATAAAATTGAAAACACGGTAACGCACATAACCCAGCTTCACAACATGTACAGTAGAATCTTATTCCTCTTCTTACATTCTTCCCTGTACTGTCTCTCTTTGAGTAGCAAAACACGGTAACGCACATAACCCAGCTTCACAACATGTACAGTAGAATCTTATTCCTCTTCTTACATTCTTCCCTGTACTGTCTCTCTTTGAGTAGCAAAACACGGTAACACACATAATCCAGCTTCACAACATGTACAGTAGAATCTTGTTCCTCTTTTTACATTCTTCCCTGTTCTGTCTCCCTTTGAGTAGTAAATAATACTCTGTCGTGTTGAATTAGATTTCTTCTCTGTTCGGGGAATGTAGTCTACAAAGTGTTTTTCAGACAAGCGTGAAGGGGTTTCTCAAAAGGAGGACATCCTCTTTTTGCAGAAAACTCCACCGAGTGGTACTTTTCAAATATTAGAAACCATGAAGAGCACATTTAAAACAAATCGGGAAAAACCGATAGCACAGTGTAAAATTTCACAGTGCCTGAGATAGTAGGTTTCGCCTGCCCAACTCAACTCGGAAAAGTTAGGAAGGCGTTAATTTTGAAATCCATGAATTCCATACGGGCATTATCAAAAATTTATATTCGTATTTTCCAAGGAATTTTGAAATACATTTTACTATTTTTTAAATTTCTTAACCAGATATTAATTTTAACTTGCTTGTAACGTATAAAGTAACGTAAATCACCACCTTTTTGATAATTTAAGGATAAAGGATTTCATTTCTATCGTATAAATTAAGCACTCAATACTTGTTTTGAATAAACATCTTTGCAGGATCTATAAGAAAGTATTGAAGATTAGTTTTGTTATTTTATAAATCTTTATCAGACATTTAAGAGGATTCATGTGAACTAGTACTCCATTCACTGAATTTTCCCATTAAGGATGTTGATAACTAGTTTAATTTAATTTGCAATAGTCTTTATTATGCCTTATAATAGGCTTTGATGAAAGCAGGCTTCGGAAGTATAAAGTTATTCGTACATCCCTTTTTGCAAAGCCCGTTATTTTAAGAAACTGGGCAATGTCAGCCTTTCTAATTCAGATGTATCGGATTTTGTATTTTATTCCATAATGACTGTTTTTAAAAAAATTTTAAAGTTTTCATCTGAAACATTTAATGCAGCATAATTCTCGATTTAATCCTATTTTCGCGTAAGCTTCCTTTAAGAAAATAGGAGAAAATATAAGGGCTGGTTCTCTCTTTGTGTGATTTAATTAAAACAGAAAATAGTCAGAGTTAATAATTAATATTTAATTGTGAAATTGCAAGTTCATTTTACTTGGAAACAAAAAAAATGGAATCAATAGCCTGAAGTTTACTTCTAGAAAATAGAATTAGTTAAAAGCTGATTTTCTTAACACATTACTATTTCAGCATTCAAAATTTAATATAAATATTGCAATGAAATGCATTTTAACTTGATTTCATTTCAAATCAAGCTGACAAGCTTCGTTCTTACTTTTTCTTTGGTCTTTTCCGACTCTGAAAACACACACGCATATTGTATATCTCTTTCATAGTAATGAGTATCAAAATGTGTTTCACATTTCTAGATTTTTATTTATTTTATTCGTAATTTCTAAATTTGTTTTTTAAAAAAATGAGGCCTTAATTATCTTAAAATCAAAGCTTTTGAAATTATTATTATTCCTTTGAACGTTGTGTTATGTAGAATACGATGGGGAATCAATACGCAAATGCAAAAACTCAGTCAGAATGGAAATTATTTATTACATTACAGTAATATTTGATTTAAATAATTATAAAGTCATTATTTATACCAATAAATATTTCTGATTTATTTACATATTTATTAAAAATATTCCTCCTAAAACACTAGGATTTACTTTATATGGGCATCAAAGTTAATTTAAAGTTTCTATTAATTATTAAAATATATATTTTATAAAAAAAGTTAAGTAAAAATTTCAAAAAAAGTTGAGGATACAGACTTTATTTATTTAAGGTTTACACAAATATAGAATTCCTTCATTACGTTTAGATTTAAATGTATTTTTACACTTCCTATTATTTTTTTTCATCTACGACTTTTTTCATCTCTTCCATTGAAATATTTTGAAGAGTTATTTCAAAAATAATGTAACCCAAGTGTTGAAAAAATATGTGTCTGTGTGAATAATTTTCTTTAAAAAAATATTTAAGAAAACAAAGAAAAAAAAATCATATTAATGAAAGGTACTTCTGTAAATTATTTTTAGGAATTGCTTCTGTAAATAAGAAAATAATTATCTTACATATTTAAAATACTTCAATTTATTCTTGTTGTTTTGGTAACTTACGTAATTTGAATTCTGGAAGCCAAAATGTGAGCTGGAATTCAAAGTATTTGCATACGTATTTTATAAGCGTCTTACAAAGTCCAAGAAAAAATGTAATGAACTAGCAGTATGTTTTCTATATCTTTTTTAATTCAATTATATTTAATTATTTAAACATTAGCTTTATTTTGCTGCCAAAAATAAAATTATCGTTGCAATTTTTTTACACAAAGTGTTAAATTCGAACTTTAATTTTACGAAAATAATATATATCTATATACTTTAAAATAACATTCCAATAAAAAGAAAAAATTTGGAAAAAATAATAGAACAACACACATAAAAACTTCTTGAAAAATTAAAAAATTGAATTCATGTTTCTCATAGACCCCTGATTACTTTTCCCCACAAAACAATTAATGAATTATTGAATTTTTTTTAATTTCTATATTTATAATTTGAATGATTTACTATCGCATCTAGTATAATAGTTTTAAGTAACTACTACCCTGTCAATGTTATGTATGAATATATTATATTCTGTTTGTTATATAATCCATTATTTTATTATGTACTAAGCTTAATTATTGTGCTCTAGATATTTGTTATAAAAGTTCTATATTATTTTCTTAAAATTCAGCACATGAACGTATTTCAACGTGATTTCCTGAGGACTCTTGGGCTCATGGACCTGGTCTAGCCTGCGGCTAGACAGGAGGAATTAGTCAACAACAACAACAACGTATTTCAAGCTGCAATTGCATTTTTTTATAAATTCAAAGTATAAATTTATTTCCATTTGTATTCCGCTTAAGTTAAATATTTGCTTTTTGCCATTCCCTTATACGAGCAATTTTAAATTTGTCAGAAATCATTTGAATTTTGCTGAAACAGCTCAATAATAATCATCTTTATAGTTAATATAAAGGCAGACTGTTTTAAATATCTTGTTTAAGAATTTCACATCTGAATTTTTTGATTTTTTTGCAATAATAATGAAATGGTGATACAAAATGGTAAAAAAAAAATTCTAGAACAATTTCTTTGAATTTTCGTGACTTACAAGAACGTTATTGTTTTTGACTAATTAATGTATTAATCTCACAAAAATTTTTCAATAGATATTGACAGGAGCAACACGCCTGAGAATGAATTTGAAAGAAAAATATTTATTTATAAGACTATTGTTGGTAGAACTGAATAGTGTGCACACACAGTACAAAATACTTTTATTTGATTTTTAAATA